GGAAGGAGATATACACCACTCTCAGAGGCCTTTACGCCACCCACGCCTGCCGGGAGCACCTAGAGGCATTTGAGCTGCTGGAGAGCTCCAGCGGTTACCGGGCGGACAACATCCCCCAGCTGGAGGACGTCTCCCGCTTCCTGAAGGGTGTGGCCCACGGACGGACTGATGGACGGGAGGGCCCGGGGATGGCCGGCCTTGCGGCTGACCCCGCCTGCCCTGCGCCCTGACCGCCCCCCATGCCCTTGCAGAGCGCACAGGCTTCCAGCTGAGGCCCGTGGCCGGCCTGCTGTCCGCCCGGGACTTCCTGGCCAGCCTGGCCTTCCGTGTGTTCCAGTGTACCCAGTACATCCGTCACGCCTCCTCGCCCATGCACTCCCCAGAGCCGTGAGTGTGCCGTCCACTGTGGGCCGCACTGCCCAGCCCACCACACAGGCCAGGAGGAAGCCCACCCACAAGCAGAGGGCCCGGCCCCCCAGGGAGGATGGAGGGAGGGTGCGGGCAGCCTGCCGTCTGTCGATCCCCAGCCCCAGCCCACCCCTCTCTCCTGCCCCCAACGCAGGGACTGCTGCCACGAGCTGCTGGGGCATGTGCCCATGCTGGCCAACCGCACCTTCGCCCAGTTCTCCCAGGTGTGTCCCCAAGGCCTGGGCCAGGAGCCGGGGGTCAGCTGGGGGGCTGCAGCCCCGGGCCTGGGGCTGGAGGGGCTTCACACGCCAGCGAGGGATGTTGCCTGCCCCCCGAGCTGATCGGCCCCCAGCACCGCGCCTGAGCCCCTCCATGGCGGGACGGTGTCCGCTTGGGCCCATGAGACATCAGGAGACGGCATCATCGGGAATAGGGGGATGGGTGGGCTTCGTCCCATTTGGGAAGACCACCTCATCAAGATGACAAGGAAGGTTCCTTTTCCAGGCGTCAGCCCAAGTCGCCACGTGGAGGGGCACAGGCTGGGGTGGAGTCCTGCGGCCTGTGCTGCCACCTGCTGGGTTTCTGCGGAACTGCAGAGAGTTGTTTCAGGAGGGCCCCCAAGTCCCCTGAAGGGCTACTGACACCCCCAGCGCCTAGACAATGGCAGCTGACAGCACCCCCACCCCATCAGCCTTCTCCTCCCTCCACAGGACATTGGCCTGGCATCCTTAGGAGCCTCGGACGAGGAAATTGAGAAGCTGTCCACGGTGGGTTCACACATGGCGGACGGAGCCTGGGGGCGAGCTCAGGACCCCGGAGTTCAGGCCAGGGTCCTTCTGGGCTGAGGTCTCCGCTGCTGTCCAGGGGGTGTCACCCTCACACTGTGACCACTCCCGGAGCCTGGCCCACTCTGCCTGGGTGGACGGTGCCCCGGGGGTCACCGGTGGCCGGGGCAGCTGTCTCTCACTGACCCTGGGCTGTCCCCACAGCTGTACTGGTTCACGGTGGAGTTTGGGCTGTGCAAACAGGACGGAGAGCTGAAGGCCTACGGCGCCGGGCTGCTGTCTTCCTACGGGGAGCTCCTGGTGAGACCCTCTCTGCAGCAGCCCCCAGCAGGGAGGGGTTGAATCTGGGGTCCCAGTGGGGAGGGTGGCCTTGGCTGTGCCTTCTAGATTCAGGTCTCCCAGAGGCTGGAGCAAGGGACCGCCCATGAACAGGGCAGGGAAAGCTCATCTGGGCCCCACTCACACTGTGCCCAGGCCTTTGGAGGACCCCCTGGGAGGAGGGTGTGAGTCCACACCCAGAGCCATGGTGGCGCCAGGCTACCCGTCCCAGTCCCCATGGGCCCTGGGGTGCAGGGACCCTGTGACACTGTGGCTTCCTGCCAGCACTCCCTCTCTGAGGAGCCCGAGATCCGAGCCTTCGACCCTGATGCTGCGGCCGTGCAGCCCTACCAGGACCAGACGTACCAGTCCGTGTACTTCGTGTCCGAGAGCTTCAGCGACGCCAAGGACAAGCTCAGGTGGGCCGGCTGCCATGAGTCCCAGGCTGGCTGAGCCGGTGGGCAGGCCGGACCTGTGAACCCGCTTCCCAGAGGAGAAAACCTGGGTCACAACACCTCTCCCACAGCAGTACCCCTGCCCCCCGCAAAGTCTGGGGAGGCGGAGACCTGCTGGGCTGGTGGCATGGCTAAGGCAGGCCACGGCCGGGTCAAGGCCAGGCCTTTAGAAGGCAGAGTCTGACCTTCATAAGTAGGATGTGTGAGGTCCTTCCCAGCTCCTGCCCTCTGAGCAGCTGGGGCCGTGGGGTGGGATGGAGGAGAGGGGCCGGATGAGGAGCCTGGAGGGAGCAGGGAGCTCCCAAGTCTGGGTGCTGAGGGTGCAGTGGCCAGGGCCCCCCAGGGGAAGAGGGCGGAGCCTGATGCGTCCCACCTGTTACCTGGGAAAGGGCCTGATTTTCCAGCCAATCTCCTGTCATCCCAGGAGAAACGGGTCCAGGGGTTGTGCGCCCCGAGTGGAAAGGCGGGGAGGGCTGGCTCCCACACACAAGCTTGAGGATCGAGATGTAACGGGCTCTCCAGGGCCCGTGGTCTGGGAAGGCTTCCTGGAGGAGGAGGCCTGGCTGACTGGGCCTTGGGGAGGATGAGGAGGGGCTAGGGTGTCCTGGAGGCCAAGACCCTGCCCCAAGCTGCCCCAGCTCCTCCCTGTCCCCCCAATGCCCCGAGTCCCCACAGGGTGACGGAGGGTCCGTGATGGCCCCTCTCCAGGAGCTACGCCTCCCGCATCCAGCGCCCCTTCTCCGTGAAGTTCGACCCGTACACGCTGACCATTGATGTGCTGGACAGTCCCCGCGCCATCCGCCGCTCCCTGGAGGGTGTCCAAGATGAGCTTCACGCCCTCGCCCACGCACTGAGTGCCATCGGCTAGGAGCAGCGGGCAAGGCCCCATGGGCCCCTGTGGGCCGGCCCGGGGTCTCGTGGCCCCTCCCCAGCCTCCCCTGACCCCCGCTCACATGACAGGCGGGGTCACAAGCACCCGCCAGAGACCCTTCCTACCCAGGGCACCTCGCCGACCCCACTGGCCGCTTCTGAGCTCTGCCTTATCCTTGTGCCACTATGCTGCCAGCCATGCTGTGTGCTGCCCGTTCACGGTCTTAATAAAACAAGCCCTGAGCACCTGCCTAGCGTCCGAGTCCGTGCCCCCTCCCCACAGTCCCGGGCCCTCGCACCCTCTCAGCCTTGCTCAGAGGTCTCTCTTTGGCCCCCTCGTTCTGCGAGGCCTCACCGGGCAGTCCAGGCCAGACGGGAGCCCCACCTGGGGCTGGGTGTTGGGGGTGGGGCAGGGCTCACAGCTGTGCCAATTGGGGGGTGTGATCTCTGAGGTCCACTAGGAGGACAGGGTTCCAGGGGGCCAGCCCGTGAGAGCAGCTGGAGGCACAGCTGCCCCTAGTCCCCACACCCCACCTCATGCAGAGCAGGACCTGGAAACATTCCCCAAAATGTGTGCTAATGGAGAGCTCAGCTGAGCTGGTTCCCAGGTGACCCCTCTGGGGCTCAGTCTCCCCAGCAAGGTGGGTGAGGGGCTAGATTCTGGGTTTTGTAAGATATCTGCAAGCTCACTTGGGGGGTCTGGGCATGGCTCTCCCTCAGAGACCCCACATCCTCCAGGGCTGGCCCCCCTTTCCCATCCTGCCCTGGCCCATGCAGGAGCAGCCCGGGGCTTACTGGGGGGAGCCTGTCTCCTTACTTCCTGCAGGGTGGGGTGGAATGCCAGTGCATCTTCCAGGCCCTGCAAATGCCCTGCAGCCATGCACGCCACTCATCCACCAGGGCCCTGGCTCTAAACTCAGGATGTCAGTCCTGGCAAACTCCTACTCGTCCGTCAAGGCCCCCTGGGCAAAGCCCCCTCCCTCAGCCGCCCTGGGAGGCGCCCTTCCATCGCTTTGCCTCAAGCGTCTTCACTGTGTTCAGCTCTCCTGCTCCTGAGTCACTTCAGCTCGTGAGGCCCCGGCTAAGGGCTGTTTCCACAGAGACCCCGGGGAAGGGCTGGTGGCGGCCTCGTCTGCCTCTGGCCCTCCTGGCCCCTGGGCTCTGCCCTTCCACCTGGGTCTGCCCCCATCCAGCCTCCTGCCCTGCGCACCCCTCTCAAAGGGACCCCCAAGTCTCTGGTTGCAGAGGCCATAATGTCCTGGAAAGAAGGCTCAACCGTCCTCGGCCGTGAAGGACCTGAGGACCCTGGAGCCAGAGGGTTAGAGGCGGCCAAGGTGGGAGGGGGTGGGAGGGGAGTCCCACCGCCCCCTCCATGACTGTCCAGGGGACCTGGGGGCGCCCAGGGGCTCGCCCATATGACAGCAGAGGCGCCGATGAGGTCTTGGGGCCGGGCCTGAAAGGGGTCAGCACTGGGAGGTGGGCAGGGGCTGCAGGAAGAAGGCTGGGGGCTGAGGAGGCGCCCGGCTGGGACGTGGTGGGGCCATGTCCACGGAGTCTCGTCAGATCACAGAGCGGGGGCCGCTGCTCCCACACTGAAGCTGGGAGTCAGAGGCCAGCCTGAGGGGGCCTCACAGCTACTGGGCCCCAAGTTTGGCCCTCCTTGCAGCACCCCAGGGAACTGGGGGTCTCAGGGGTGGAGGGAGGCCGCTGTGCTGGGGTGGGGTGGGAGCAGTGCTGTGAGCAAAGAGAGGACGTCCCTCACTTTCCCACCCGCATGGCCCAGACCATCCACGGGCCTTGAGGACAGACCGGGATCGAGGGCCCAGGGCCCAAGGCGGGGACAGGAAGAGTGCCCCCTTGCACCCCCTTCCCAGCTACCAGGACTAATGTGGAAAGTGTGGCTTTGCTCCCGGGGCGTGGGGGACATTTGCCCCCAGCTGCGAGCAGGGACTTCTGGGCCATCAGGCCCTCATTAAGACTCTAATGACCCCAGTGGCCCGAGAGGTGCTGACGACCAAGGAGATGTCCCTGTACCAGGGAAATGATGCAGAAGTTGCAGCCTCAGCCTCAGGCCATCTGCCACCCCCGAGGCTCTAAGGGGCGGGCGGTGGGTGGGGGGTTATAAAGCCAGCGGTGCCCGGCAGCCCCCAGCCCTCCAGACCGGCTGCATTCTGAGGCTATCAGCAGGCAGGTCTGTCCCGGGGTGCTCCGGTCAGCCTGGGGTGGGGGCTGCCCCGCTGGGGTCCAGGGCGTCGGGGCCCCAGGCCCAACTTCCGGAGGACGTGGGCTCCTGCCCTAGAGCGTTTGGGCCTGGGCACTGGGTGGGGGTCCCCAGCAGGGCATGTGCCCCCACTGGTTGCAACCTTGCTGGTCTCCAGGTCGTCGACACCCCGCCATGGCCCTGTGGATGCGCCTCGTGCCCCTGCTGGCCCTGCTGGCCCTCTGGACGCCTGCCCCGGCCCGGGCCTTCGTCAACCAGCACCTGTGCGGCTCCCACCTGGTGGAGGCGTTGTACCTGGTTTGCGGGGAGCGTGGCTTCTTCTACACGCCCAAGGCCCGCCGGGAGCTGGAGGACCCGCAGGGTGAGCCCGCTGTGATGCCCCACCCTGCCCCGCTGGCACCCGGGAGCAGTTAGGCAGGACTTTTAACTTTTAAAAGAAATGACGTGCCCTTGGTCACGTACCAGCAGTGACCAGCTCCCTAGTCGGTGTTGGCATCCAGGGGCTCAGCCCCGACGGCGCCCCTTCCCCACCATCCCTTCTCAGCCCCTCCTCCTGCTCCAACCAACGACCCCTCCTGACAACGGCAGCTTCAGGGGGAGTTTCATCGAGCGGGCCGGGTCCTGGGCGCTGACTGCCTTGGGGTGACATAGAGGCGATGGGGGTGCTGCATGTCCTCAGGGGCCGTGGGAAAGGACCCAGTCCTGGGAGCTGGGGCTGCGAGGAGTCAGGGGTGGGGGGCAAGCCCGGGGACACCTGTTCAGGTTCCTACAGTGGCACTGCCCTGGGGGACAGCGGCAGGATGTGGGGGCCTCCGGGAGGAGTGACCCCGCCCTCCCCGGGGCTGTGCGGGGCTTGGGGGCTGCTGTGTACCCTGACTGTTGGTCCCATGTGTCCTCCGGGCAGCAGGGCAGGCGGAGCTGGGCGGGGGTCCAGGCACGGGTGGCCTGCAGTCCTTGGCCCTGGAGGGACCCCCGCAGAAGCGCGGCATCGTGGACCAGTGCTGCACGAGTATCTGCTCCCTGTACCAGCTGGAGAACTACTGCAACTGAGAGCACCCCGGGCGCCAAGCCTCCCGCTCCTTGTACCCCAAGTGACCTAATAAAGCCCTTGAATGAGCTCGGTGCTGTTGTCTGTACGCCGAGGGCTGGCAGGGCACGGGCGGGCCCATCTCCCCGTCTGGGCCGTGACTGCCGTGGGGTCCCTCCCCGAGCCCCCCTTCTCTGGCCCCTTCGAGCTTTCTCTACGCTCACTGGCTGCCCACGGCAAATGGCAGTGCCCCCCAGCTGAAGGGCTCTTCTTGGCTGCCAGCTGCCCCCTACCCTGGGGCGCGGGGAGGGCCCACGGCTTCCTGGCTACTTCAAGACGGGGCAGAGAAGGGCTGTAGGGGTCTCCAGGAGGCTGGGGTGCTGGCTGGGAGCTGACACCCCTAGCTCAGAAGCCTTGATCTCTGAGCTCCCAGGGTGCTTTTCCGGGAAAAAGAATGAGGACATTCCAGCAGTTTCTCCCCACTAGCCCCGCCGGGACCTGCTGTTAGGGCTGTTTCTGATGGAGGCCCTTCGAGGGAGGAGGCTGGTCTTACAAGGGTCGGGGACACAGGAGGGGCACAACGGGCTGCCCACGCTGCGCCTTTCTCATTGTCCCCAGCCCCCAGCCCAGATCCAGCCAGAGGACCCCACGGGGGCCCTGAAGGCATAAGAGGGGGCTGGATGGCACCTCTGAGCTGGGGGACAGGCTCGGACCAGGGGCTGGGGGCCCAGGGCTCAGGGCATCCTGGCTGTGACTCCTAAACACTGCAGCCCACAGGGCCACAGATGGGGCCAGTCTCCCCGCCGCCCCTCAGCCTCTACCCCCACTATGCAGCCCCACACCCACTGGTCCCCCTCAGGAGTGCCATCAGGGCCTGAGGACTAGGTCACTCGAGGCCCAGGTCTTCAGTGGTCCTGACATCCCTCCTCCTCAGAAGCCACTGCAGCCCAGGGTGGCTCCACTGGGCACCCCACCCAGGCCACCACCTGGCATGCCAGAGAGCCCGGGGCTGCCTGGCCTGGCCATGGCCTGGGAGGTCAGAGAGTGACCCTGGCTGCCCCAAAGCCTGGCCAGCCCGCCAGCTGCCCAGACCAGGCCAATCTGCACCTTTCCTGAAGGCCCCACCTAGGCCTGGGCCCCAGTGGCTGCAGACCACTCAGTGGCTGCCCCCGGAGCCAGAAGCAGACCTTCCTGCTGGGGGCCCAGCCACCTGGGCAGGCCTCCTGGCAGCCCCACGGCCCCCTCCCAGGTCGCCTTCACCATGACCATCCCGACACCCCACCAAAGAAGCTGCTTCAGGCCCCAGCTAGCCCCGCCCCTGGAGTGGACGGCCGGACACTGGACCCAGGAAAGGAGGAGGAGGAGGAGGCTGGGACACCCAGGCGTCCCCATCGGCCCCAGGAGAGAAAAGGGTGTCCTGCAGGAGTTGAGGTACGTGAGGGCCACGGGCCCGGCCAGACGCAGCTGGGACGGGAGGTGGGCCCGCTGGGGTCAGGCTGCCCCGGAGGCAGCAGCCGGCCCAGCCTGCGTCCTGGCTGGCCCTGTCCACCAGCAAGACTCTGGAGGACCCAGGACCTTTTCTCCTTCTGGTGCCAGCAAGCTCCGTGGAGGGGAGCAGGGGCCCTTTGGGGTCCGGGGGCACAGGGGCCAACCCAGCTGTCAGGACTCACAGTGTGGCTGGGCCGGGGTGGTGCCGGGGACTCAGGAGTGTCACTCAAGGACTGTGCACTCAAGAAACTCGGTCACGGTGCGACACCACCCTCGGCCCCTTGCCTGGATGGGGGCCTGCCTCCCTTCCCCCCAGAGACCTCCCCAGCCCTGAGACCCAAGACCCTCCACCCGAACCTCTCCTGCCAGCCCTTTGGGCCTACGACGCCCATGGCTGTTCTTGAAAAGGGCCGGTGGGGAACTCCATACTCCTGGCACGGATGAAGTCCCTGAGGCAGAGAGGGCTGCCCAAGGTCGCCGGTGGCAGAGGTGGGATCAGACCCTAGGCCCTGAACCCCAGATGCCCACATTCCTGGGGCCCCTAGGTCACCCGCAGGCCTTGGCCCCGCTGTCTGCTCAGCCCCGTGCTCCGCCCCTTCTGGGAATCAGGACAGTCCTGTGTCCTCGGGTCCTGCCTGCCCTTGGAACTGGGCCTTACTTGTCATGGGGCTGGCAGTGGCTGTCAACTGTGTCTATCCTTGTGTGTCACCCTGGCATGGGGAGTGGGGGTCCAAGTGTCCCCCCCCCAGCCAAGGGCGGTGGGAGGTGGAGGAGCAGCTGTTGCAAGGCCCCCTGACCCTGCTGGGTCCCCAGAGGGCTGGGATCTCCCAGGGGACATCACTGAGCGCCGCCCCACGCACGTGTCCCTTTTGCGCACGCTCACATCTGTCCCACCATCACACGTGCCATGTGGGGCGGGCACTGTTGCACTCGTGTTCCTCCTGGGGAGACTGAGGCCAGGGCCCGGGTCTGTCCCTCTAGTGCCCACAGCCCAAGAGCATTGTGCCAGGGTGGCTGACTCCAGGCTGGCTCCCGGGTTGTACCTGCTCCTGGCATGGGTGACCTGGCATCCGTACCTGGCAGGTGGGGCAGTATTTGCCCTCTGTTGGCAGTAAATATTTACCGTCCTCACCGTTCTCCTGGCCTGAACAGACCCTGAGGGGCACGGGAGGGGGACGCAGGGCTGCCAGGTCAGGCCCCGCTGTCCTGGAGGGCCTGGTGGGGGGCCAGCAGGGGGAGAGGGAGTGAGACCAGGAACCAGGGGCCTGAGCTGCTGGAAAAGGCCCCCCAGCAGAGCCAAGGCGCCGTGTCTGTCCAACTAGACTGTGAAAGGGGAACACCTGTGTCCCCACCTTGGGGAGTCTGTCCTCGGACCCAGGCAGGGCTGGGACCCAAGTGCATAGCAGCTTTGCTGGGTGGGCACCTGGCCACACAGGGAAAGGTGGCCGGAGCGGCTATTTGCAGATGAGACCAGCAGAGGGCGCCAGAACCCCAGTTTTGCTGCACCCCCCTTGCGCAGGGCTGGCTATCCTGGTGGGTGGACTGCTTGGTAGGGTCTGCTGCCCACCTGCTAGCACTCACAGGGGCTTCTGGGGATGCCCGAGGGGCGGACCACCCTAGGTCCTGGAAGCTTAGGAAGGAGAGAGGGTGTCCAAGGTCTCAGCCCCCCATCAAGCCCCCACCCATCATCTCACAGGCCCAGGCTTCCTGGAGGAGCAGCGGGACAGGTGTGCTGGGTCCCCAACATCTTGGGAAAGTCCCCAATGAGAATCTGACCTCCAGACCCCCAGAATCAGAGACCTGGGAAGTCCTTAGGGGTGACTTCTCCCAGCACCCGCATGTTATGGCCGAGCAAACCAAGGCAGGAGGGCCAGGCACCCAGGTCCCCCCGGAGCCTTTGCTGAGGTTCTCCAGGGCCCTGGGGAAACAGGCTGGGGGCTGGGGATAGTTGTCACTGTCATGCCAGGAGGTCCCTTACTCTGCTTGTAGCTACCTCGGCCACTCAGGCCGGAAGGCTCATGTAAGGGGGGGCTTGGGGGACGAGAGGCCTCAGGCAGGGGTTCAGCTGGATCAGGGTTCGTTCTTGCCCATGTTCACCCCCATCTGTCCGCCTCCCCGTCCCGTACCGACAGGCGAGAGGTCAATTCCAGAAAGAATGTGTGGGGGTCCAGGCACGGCAGAAACAACAAGCAAGGTGGTGGGGCGCCGGCCCCCTGCTCCGCCCCCGCCCCCCGCACTGTTGTTTCTGGCCGAGGTGCAGGAGCCCCATGGGGGTGCCTCCCGTCGACCCCCGCGGCCTGGTCAGGCTGTGCTGACTCCCAGCACCCGGCCGGCCCCACACAGCCCTCGCGTCCTCAGCTCACCTTCGGTCCCCCAGGGCCAGCCGCACCCCACCTCAGCTCAGACTCCCCATCTCCTGCCCATCTGCTGCCTTTGGAGGACCCCACCCCTGACCCGCAGACCCCGGGACAGTTTCCAGGGTTCCATGGACAGGCCCCTGAGGCTGTCCCCAGAAGCTGGGCTTGGGGCTGTTCTGAAGGGTGAACCCCAACCCCCACCCTCCAGGGCACGGGTCCCCATGCAGACCAAGCTGCTGAGCCATCAGAGCCTGGGGGGCCACATTCCGCCGGCCTCGCTCTGACCCCCTTCCCAGCCCATCTGTGTTTTTGGAAAACAGAGCTGGCGCCCCAGCAGCCCTGCCAGCTTGTGGCCGCTCACGCTGTGGCCCAAAGCACACACTTCTGTTCTTCAAAGTCTGTTCTCACTTCAGAGCTGGCCCCGTTCCAACCAGCCTCACTCAGGGCCACCCTGCCTGCCCCCTCCCACACCAAAGGCCCACTTCTGGGGCACCTTGGAAATGCCCTTCCCTTTCTGGGCCTCGGGTTCTGTGGGCCAGTCCACACGGCGGCAAGAACGCAGCTGGGAGGAGACGAGCCTACGGCTCTGGCTACCCTGGTCGTCACTGGCCGTACCTGGCCCTCCGTGGCCCTTCCTGGCACCCTCTTGAGGTCTGACACGCTCAGCCTGTCCAAGGCAGCTTCAAGGGGCAGAGATGGGGAGAGAGCGGAAGGTGAACCTCCTTCCGCAAGACCTGCAGAGTGGGAGGGCCCTGTCGCCCACTGGGAGTGCCGCCCTCACCCCAGCCCAGCTGTGGGGACAGAGCGGGCAGAGAAGCCCGGCTCCAGGTGGGAAGGAGAGCTGCCTGAGACACAGGAGAGGGGCGGAGGCGCCCCCTCCCTCAGCCCCAGCTGCACAATCAGAGCTCAGATCAGAAGAGGCCAGGCGGGCCGGCTGGGAGGCTTCCTGGAGGAGGCGCCTTGACCCTGAGAGCGAGTCCACACTGGGCTGCCACTGCCAGGGGTAAAAACCCAGCCCAGGGATGGCCGTGGGTCAGGCCCCTGCTCTCCTCCCTGGAGCCATAGTGGCAACTGTGTCCCCCAAGCCTTTCCCCATGGCTGGGCATGTGCCGGCTCCAGCCAAAAAGAAGGGACAGGCTGGAGGACGCAGGGGCTGATTTCTGTGGGTGCCTCATCTC